CCAACAAGTTTGAAATCATGGGCAAAATCAGCATTCTAAGCTAATTTGCTTTCGAATCATTTTCAACAGTCAGAATATTTGTTTCATACTCTATTTAGCATGCCCTATTCATTAGTAAACACAGAAAACTGATATTACGCACTGTTTCCGGGAAAATGTTTGAACTCTAAGCCGATCTTAACACTTGAATCGGTATGTCTCTGGTGGAAGTCGGTCATTTTCGACGATGGTTCATTGTATCAGTTTTCTCTTTGAGTGACCGATGAAACATGCCGAATTGTTGATGAAATAAGTGTTTACTCAGTTGGAATACACTTCAGAAAATATCGGTCGTTCAAATACTTGTTAAACTAATGAATTCAACCGAGGATTTCGATGCATCGATTCGATTTGCTGTTTTCACTAATAAATAAAGCATGCAGAATTAACCATTGCATAAGTATGTCCTTTGTTGGAACTCACTATAGCAAACCCGGCAGAGAAAAGAGTTTTTCTGATTGTAGGTGTCACTTTAGTAGGTGTGTATTTCGGTTGATATCGAATTAGCGAGGACGGGAAGGTGAGACAGAGGGAGAAGGAGAGTTGGAGTTTCGAGTACTATTCAATGTATGAATGAGTCTTGTTGGAACACTTCTGCTGACGAACAGACCCAGAAAATATGGAGGAAAAACAGAATTAGGTCGATTTTTCGAGGTTTTTCTCAAAAAAGTGCAAACTAATGAGATTCGATTTATATAGTTGAATAGAGCTCGTCGAGCAGCATTTATAGGCAAAAGATTTTTGCTTAACCACGGTATCGCACGAATCACCCAAAAAATTACTTTTTCAAAACTTTTTACAACAGACTGAGAACTGTATCTTGGATTTTTCTGAGACATCAAGATTGATGTAGCGCAGTTCTTTGCATCATTCGATGTAGCTAATTGACTTGTACTTGAAGCCCAGAGTTGGGAGTGTGGACCTCTCCTCTGAACGAATTGGAATCGAGAATAACCTTGCATGTCACATGCCTGAATAGACTTCTTTCTAAATCATGATTACAGGATTTCTCTAAAAAGCACTCATAATTCTGCTTAAGATACGAAAAAGAGTAATAAGAAGGACTGTTCCCAAAACTTATATCAAGTTTCAGGCGAGATTGATATAAGTTTACATATTATGATCCATACAACTATTACAGCTTATGTTTAAGAGAGTCTTAAGACGAAATCGACAACACACGATATCAGTGGCTTCGAATGTTAGCCAACGAAGAAAGTCTAATTCACAGTAACACAACTATAATTTGTTTTCTAAATGATTATAACTTCAGCAGCAATGATGGTCTGTTCAAGATCCTGATTGCATCTTGTTTTAAATCCTATGAGGACCACAAAAACTCTATGACTACGTACTTTTTTAAGGATTTAGTGGTTTCTCGAAAAAACCCTGATTTGAAAGTCAATGTTGGACCTCTCAGAATCCTAGAATATTTCTGTCTCATTCCTAATAAGATTCTGAAATGTCATGATTTCATATTTCTTTCACACATTCATCGTTGTATGAAGGAAAGAGAACAAGTCCTTCCAGAATTCTGACAAACTTACCATACACCTTGGATCAGGATTTTGCCAAGAAATCACTAAACTCTGTAAGAAATGTATAACAACAATACTGTTCCAGATTGTTAAAAGATTTCGAACAGGATTTTGTTGAGACTCTGAACTATTTATGACTAGTTAAAAATTAAAAATCTTTTACAACACAACTGGTAAGTTTGAATAGGAATTAATCATATGTTACTTAAATGTCACCACTGCAGCAGAAATCTCACTTTGATATTTTCCTCTGATTCAGCCACAGAAATGGAGTGGATCCTCTTATCAGAATCTTAGACTGAGTTCGACTTATACTTTATAGAATCGTGAGAAAAACCTCACTTATATTCTTGTAAACATCCCAAGTAGTATCAGTAATGAATTCTGAGAGAATTCTGTTCAAGTAGTACCGAAAAATATTTGACTCCGAACCAACACATTGCTGAACAGGACATTGTATAAAAGTAAAATCTCTAGAAACAGAAGTTTCGACAAGTTGAGACACAATCTTATCGAAAAATTGGCAAGATCATTGAAGTTAAGGATTTTGACAGATGCTTCTAGAATATTGTAAGGAATGAACAGGACTAAGACCAGGGACAGGTTAATTAACATAGAACATTCCGATATTCAAACTAGACAGGATCAATCGATTTCGTGCTTGAACTGATTCTTCTATCTTCTTAATAGGACTATCCTTTCAGATAGCTATATATCCTGACAAGATCCTAATAGAAAGTACTAGTTCAAGTGTTGAGAATAATCTGATAACATCTTGGTAGAATGGTCTATCCCAATCTTTACAAGATTCTTCATAAGGTCTCATTGAAACTCTCGTTCGATCAAGCATTCTCAATTTACAAAACTATCTGAACTAGAATCTCAAGCTTGAACAGATTCCTACTTGAACTTCAAAAGTCCTGCTAGCAGAAATGATTAGAATTAGAAACAGGATGTTGAATAAAACTTTACAAGATCCTTGAGACTTATGAATTTGAAAGATTCTTCCAAAAATTCTTAAGGAATGATTAAGATTGAGAACATGAGGCGCTCTTTGCAAAATACTACATCTTTCACAAGATTAAACAAAGTATAGAAAATCATTATCTTTGTTTAAGACGTTTGTTATGTTCTCTTGACACGGTACTTCATTGAACTCTCTATCACGAGTTTCTACTAATAGATAACCATTTTTATCATTTATCCATAAATCAATGTACTTTAGTTTTACAGATGTTACCACTCTGTAGCTAAAAGGCGGCTCTATTATTAGTATTGATCTTTTAAATTCTCTTTTCCTTTTACTTTTTCAATTCGAAAGGATTCATTCGATCTAGCTTTCATTCTAGAAGTCTAGATCACTTTAATGATGATTAGTTGATCTTTATTTTATGAAACTTTGAGAGAGATTAATTAATGAAGTAATTAGTAGCTAATGAATGAATTGTACATCACAAATATAAACAGATATTTAGATTGTGAGAACAATTAATTAACTAGCCACTATTTGGTTGCATTACTATACAGAGTATTTCCTTGATGAAGTTCTGCACTTTAAAATAAGAAATATTAGAAATATATGCTCAAATATAAATAAACCAGGTCAATTCATACGAAATTAGCAATAGAAGTTATTTAGTATGAAGACATTGGAATCCCATAGAAATTACATTAATAGCTTCTTTTAACTGATGCATTTCTTTTCATTTACATACTAGATATGGAGCAATATGTTGAGGAAAGAACGACCCAGTTAGTGCCAAGAAGATTGGTATTGTGGCGACGTCTTATTAATTCATTGAAAACACTGAACTTGTTTGATTCCGATTCGTCCGATGAACAAGTAATCCAGCGCGAGCGACTATCTACTTATGTTTATATCACTCTACTGTCTATCTTCATGGTTACAACTACGGTCTATACAATGTTTTCACCACATACAAATTTCATGAAAGTTTGGGAACCTTCTGTTCTCAAATTCAATAAACTCTATGATCAATTTCCAAATACTCTTCAATGTCCTTGCTCACAGGTGTCAATACTCTACAGCGATTTTTCTTATTTGCAAGTCACTTTTCATGAGGTCTGCAACAGTCAATATGTTACTCCAGATTGGATCAATTCAGTCTATCGGGCTAACGTGTCATTTCTCTCACCGACAGATGTTCGAACTCTACTTAGCAGTTTTTGGCAATTCGTGCGCTCATTCTGCAATCAGATGAAAGAGAACTTTATTGATGCTTATACGAGTTTCAATTCAACGTTTTTATTCAGTACCATAGCTGAGTCACGGTTTTCAGTTGATACAAAAGTCAAACTTTCACTGAATTCTTTCCTTGACTCAGCTGTTTCTTATAATAATCGTATCCTATTCATAGCTCGACAAACAACAGTAACAAATGGATTGATCTCATCTTTAGGCACCAACTATTACCTTGTATCAGCAGACGATGAGACACAAATTATGACAGGTAGACTTGATATTGTTGCCAACACTTTTAAAGATGGTTGTTCTTGCTCTGATGATCGTCAGTGTCCTCAATCAGTTGTCTTATTCGGCAATAATGGAACCTCAATTCAAACTATCATACCTGGCATGATATTCGACTGTTTATTGTTAGATGGTGTACTTGTATCATCACTTGAATGTTTTTATGATTCTCAATGTATATCATTACTTCAAGATACATTTATGATGGACACGAAAGTAAAGCCACTCAGTGCTTTGAGTCGTTTTTTACCAAATGTTACCATAGGTAAACTATTGAACGAACTTATGATTGAAGAACTAACTACAAAAATTGATTTTTCTTCATACTATAAAAAGTGCAATCCAGCATTCTGCACATACTCATATACACACAGATTTGATATTCTGTTTATTATTACAACATTCATTAGTGTATTAGGTGGAGCTTCAACTATATTAAAATTCATTTCTCCTATTTTGATCAAGATGATATTGAAAATAGTTAAGTGGAAAAGACAAGGAGAATCAATTGGTATAAATCAAAACCAGATTTCAAGCAATGATAAACGATCATTTTCATTTTCTCGTAAGTTCTAAGTATTAATACTTCGTTCTCTCAAAAAACAAACTCAAAGATAAACAATTGAAGCTCTAATTCCATTCTTTGATGAATAACAGTAAAAGTGAAAAAGAGAAACCATTCAAAAACTTCTTTGCATTCTTGCATTCTTTAGTTGAGCTTGGAAGTAAATAACAATGAACAAACGAGATTCTATATAGATAAATTACTGCAAGTAATGCAACAAATAGTATAGTGTTAGTATAAAATGACGATAATCGAAAAATCTTTCATTCTTGTATTAGTCATTCTTTCAAACTTTTTGTGCTATTTTATTATAATTATTTGTCGCAATGAAACTATATATATTGATTCTATAATAACTTGCATTAGTTTCAATGTTGCTAGATACTCACGAAAATTGGAAAAGCTGATGATGTTAAATAAGATATGAAGATAGCGTTCCGTGCAAAAAAAAATGTTTATTTACATCTCTCGTATCTCTCAATTGAACTTCAAAGGATATATTGAATCTTTTTCATGGCCATCACATCTCAAAGAAATTCTCTGCTCTCATGAGGATATAAGGCGATGTTCTAAGAGTGCTTCTGTAGACCAAGACAGCACTATGTAGAGACTTTGCTATCTAAACAAATATTTGTCTAGAATAGGATAATCTGTCTGTAGGAAAAAAGACAACCAGCCAATATGTGATTGAAGACTTCATACATTGCAATAGCGTTCAGCTGAGTTCGACAGGTATTCTGTATGGGTCCTAGGCTCAAAAATAAGAAAACCATTTTATGAGAAGAGTTAGGACATAACAGATGTCAAGATGCTACATTGCTTCAAGAGGCATGCTGTGTTCCTCAGAGCAGTTTCTATGAGATGTGGGCGACATTGATATGTATTGTTTGGCACTGAATAGTATATTGATGTGTTGTTTACGGTCTCCTACTTAAGTGATTTACAAAATGTATGACAGTTATCGAAATTTACTGCAAGAACATGTCTCATTATCATCAGTTCTTATGTTGTATGAATGGTAATTATATCATTGGTCGACAAACTTTTGTCGACAGTCATTTTGGTCGACAAATTTTTGTCGACAGTAGTTTGTCGACAAAATTTAGTCGACAACTTTTCGTCGAAAGGAAACTTTGTCGACATGATAATTTGTCGACAAAGTTTTGTCGAAATTATTTCGTCGACAGATATTTCGTCGAAAAATATTTCTGAACAAACAACGGTGTTCAAAATTTTACAACTAGTCTTTTATTTGGTAAAGCACATACAGGAGTAAAATAAATTACTATATATAGTTATGTAGAACATATTTAATAAATAAACTAACAGATATAAGGAACAAAGAAACAGAGAAAGAGCAAAATTGAGAAAATGTATACATCTGATTCTTTTTCTTGTGTATATATAGGTATTTATCTGATTTGACATGAAATTGATCAAATTAATAAATACATCAATTTCAGAACGCGAAATGCATTACTAATTGATGTGATTCTTATTGAGTTAGGTAGAAAAACAATTTTCTTTGATTTATTCATATAGAATGCAATCATAACTTCCGCTTTATTGTTAAAGTATACAGGCTTATAATGTTAAGATCAATATGCATTGTCGACGAAAATATGTCGACGAAAAAGCTTTCGACAAAAGCGCGTCGACAAAATAAATTCGACAGTGTCTCTGTCGACAAATTATCTTTCGACAATATATCTATCGACAAAATATACGTCGACGAAATTTTGTCGACAATATGTTTGTCGACAAAATGTACTGTCGACGAATGATATGCAATTCGTATGAATCAAGCAGTGTGCTGTTATTCGATTCAGAACTAGAATCGATCTAATCGTTCATTCTTTTCGTCTTTTTTTTGCATCCAATATCAGTAGATTTACGCCAGAATATGAAATAACGAGGATTTTTGCACTAATCCTCGTAGTTCTTGGACAACACTTTCCTCATATCTTCCCTTCCCTTGAAGTTGATTGCTTCGTTTTACCGCTTCAACATGTCCTCACCCCGATTATTTTTTGTTTCATTACTTTGGCAAGTATTTGGGTTCATTGTAACTTTATTGTACCGTAGTATTCTTGAGCCTAAAATTTCAATATCTCCAGTTCTACTCAACCAATCTTTGTGATTTTTTTATCATGTTCTACTTAGAAGTCCTCACTACTATACCAAAAAACCACAAGATTATCTTGAATAAGTCCTGAGATATTGGCTGCACAAGGCTCGCAAGTTCGATATCTTCTGCCATCGTTTGGACAAAAAAATCGTATGGTTAATTCGTCACTTGTCATTTGAATTTCGATAGCTCATGATATTTATAATATACAGTCTACACTTCTCTAATATAAAACTCATTGGTTCTTTCGACACGTTTTTTATTATGATCTTCTCGAAATATCATGCGTACAGACAATTCTCTGTTTTCTGTCATGCGAGATTAAAATCCATTCTGGTAAGTAATGATCCGTCTCATATTGATTGGACTGGTGTAAAATGAAAACTAGTTGGTCATAAATGAAATCTCCAAAGACGATGAGAAATTTATAATACTTTTTGCTGAGGAAAAATATGAAATGAAATTTCAAAGTTTCGGTTGTCATACACAATGTCATGCAAGACACTTATGAGTGTAACTACCTCACAACTAAAGCGAAAGTAGAAACATAATATATCACCTGAGTTCTATATTTAAAGAGCTATGTTATTTTAGTTGTCAAGTCTAGATCAAACATAGATCATTATTACAGAGAAAATGCCTAATAAAAAAACTACCATGAATCTTTAAATAATATTTGTTTAAAAACTGTCGTATCTTGGGCAACTTAGTAGTGGTAGTCGGGAAGAATTAGTCATATTCACATCTCATCTAGTACTATAGAATGCACCAATCACCGTTGTTAAAATCGAAATTTTTTCTCGTCCATTTTTTTCACAGAACAGTACAATAAATTTGTAATGAACCCATTTATAAAACTAGTTTTTCTTTAGTCATATCAGTTATATAACTTCATACTGAGAAAGATAGACAACAATAGAATTGTAACTAACAAATATAAATTGATATCAATCATCCATTAACTTTGCTATTTTCTATTGAAAGATAAAATACAATCTTATTAACAGTTGTTGGATTCAACTTAGTTCGTTTTTGCCTAGTAGCTTTCGATCCTATCCAATAACTTTCTGTCAACAACAACAGCTGAATTGTATCGCATTTTTTGTGCTTATTTGAAAATGATTATGAGTTGGAATAGTCTTTAACAATAATGCGAACTTCATATTTAGATTGATTTCACTTTTTTTGATTGATCTAGATTCTAGTTATTTTAGTACTTCATCCATTAAGTTTTCAACAATGTCTTTTTGACATCATTTTCAACGTGAACTGTTGTAGTGGGAGTTATTTTGAGTAGATTTACACTGTGATTACAATATTGTTTTGTATTTTGATTTATTCTTAGTCGAAATAATCATTTTACTTCTTATTGAATATTTATACGTTAGTTATATGAGTAATGACTGATATAACAACATTTCAATAGATTGTTTTTACTGAATCAATTGGACTGAAACGCCTTGTTCCATTTTTACAAGACAGTATTATGTGTTAAATCAACGAATCTTTTTGTTTTTTGTACATCGTTATTAGGTGCTCTTGTGCAATACCAGAATTACTAAACATTAGACAATTGTCGACTGATTATCTCAAAAATCATAGAAAATAAAAATCAACTTTTACCAAATCAAATTCATCACGGATTCTTTTTTTCTCTAAGATATGAAAAACTTGTTAGTGTGTTATATGTTGTACCTAATTAAGTATTTTTAGTATTTCTCTTATTGAAAAGCTCTAAAGTATCTTAAATATATATTCTCTTGCCTGATGAATATAGACATATATTTTGGATTTTTGCTTTGATAAGGGAAAGTTGCGCGCTGAGGCCCAGTTTGTCGATTCCAAAATAAATACAGTTCTATCTTTTTCTTTGTATATTTTAATAGTTTACACAAGGCTATACAACAAATGAAACAGATATATTATTTCAGCAACACACTAACCTAGACGTCATAAAGAAAACAAAATTCCTCAGTTGGAAAAGAAGGCTATGTAGACGAACTCTACATAAAATTCTCTCTGTTTTAGAGTCTGAAGTAAACATTGAGGTCGAATCTAGTTAGAAAAGCCTTCTATCAATAGTTAATCTCACTCTGTTACAGTCTTTAGTTGTACATCCTAAGTTTCTCGTCTTTTCTAAGAAAAATAATGCTTCTCTATTAGTCTATAGTTTAGGTTGCGTTCTCAAGATCAAATATATAAGTGTTAATGAAATACCAAACAAGAAACCAGGTAGATTTTCATCTTTTAATCCTCTCACCTACATAAGAAAAAACTGATAACTTATTCGACCATCTTTATTTTCTTAAGCTTGATATGTGAACTTATGCGTTGCAAAATAGTAAGATAGACTTTGTCTTTCAGGTGAAGTTGTTATAAACAAGCTTCGTACATGGTTCAATTTTATTTGGACTACTCTACGTAATTTAAATCTATTCAAAACTTCATCTCAAAATGCTGACACTCTATATCGACAACGTATCACTACTCGGGTTTTTATCATCTGCCTAACAATTAGCATCATTGTATGCAGCGTTTACTGGTTCTTCTTCACAGCAATAATTACAATTACTGTATCTAATCCATCTCGTACAGATTATGAAAATCTACGACAGATGTATTCATATAGTCTTCAGTGTCCATGTTCGCAAAGCATCATATCATATTCTGATTTCATTTACATGAAGCCTAATTTTCATCAGCTTTGTTCAAGTAAACTCACTTCTCCAGATTGGTATGGACCTCTAGCAATTCTTCAACAGAGACAGGAATAGGAACCATCAGAAACTATGTGATCATTGTGATGGGAAATGTAAATGCTTTTCTTTATGTACAATCAACGCAAAGGAGTCAAGCTTTGAGAGAAACGAATGAAGATGCTTA